ATCTCTCTTCCGGGGAAAGGCTGAGGGAGCTGGATCTCTTTAGCTTGGAAAAGACGAGACTGAGGGGTGATTTCATTAGTGTTTGCAAATATGCAAATGGAGAGTGTCAGGAGGACAGAGCCAGGCTCCTTCTCAGTGTTGTCCAATGATAGGACAAGGGGCAAGGGTTGCAAGATGGAGCACAGGAGGTTCCACATAAATATGAGGAAAAGGTTTTTTATTCACTATGACAGAGCACTGGAACAGGCTGCCCACAGACATTATGGAGTCCCGCTTCTCTGGAGACATTAAAAACCCACCTGTATGCATTCCTGTTTAACCTAATATAGGGGATCATGCTCTAGCAGGATGGTTGGACTAGGTGATCTTTTGAGGTCCCTTCACAGCCCTAACATTTTGTGATTCTGGGATTTTTGTTTCACTTTTTCATTGGTGAAATCATTGTTGTAAGGGCATGAAAAGAAAGGAAGGAGTTTACTGATCCAGAGTACTGATGATATCTTAAAATCTACTGTTGTTTTGTGTGGTGATAACCTGTATTACACATAAACTGTGTAATACAGAGCACCTGTAAGGAAGCCAAGCTTAGCATGAAACAATTTGTGTAAGATGTGATGTTTATGACATCTCAACTCAAAAACATAATATTGTAGATCAGGTCTGCTTATGTCCCTGTTTTAAAAGCATGTGAATTAACAGCTGCTAACTGTGGTGTAGAGCAGTTGGACTGAGCCCCTGGCTGTAAGTGGGGCAGCTCCTGTTGTGAGCCTGATTTACAGCTCCCACCTCTGCTCTCCTTCTCTTCATTGTTCCCTGGCCCCAGGTGCTGGGTAATCACACTTGATAGCTGTTAGGCAGGGACAAATGAATACTTATCATCACTGGCACACTGCAGTTTATATTAACTGTTTTATTCCCCAAATGAAGCTCTGACATGACTTATACAACCTTAGTTTTACAGATCTAAACACAGGTAAAATAGACTTAGCACAGTTTGGTGCTGAGACCTTCCCCCCATCCCAGCATAGTTGAAGAGCTAATTTCTGTCAGTGCTATATTATTGTCTTCAACAATGCAGATAAACCCTTAATTTAATCTCCTGTGTCACAAATGAGTTAGGGACTTGGTATAACAGGAGTGAGTGTTCCTGCTTGAGCTGACTCCCTTCTTGGTCTCTGTAACAGCCTTTAGTGCAGCCCTCTCTGAAGGGTGTTCATAAGTCCTTTTGATTACCAGGTACGAACACAACATTTCGTTTTCAGTAAGAAGATAGCTCTACCTTCCTCATACAAATGTTACATTAATCGTAATTTTACCCAAGGGAAAGGTAGGCCAATGTGTTTTTTTAAGTACATCCCTAGACAATGAAAGATAACAAATATTATGGAAACCAGCAACAGGAACAAGCAGTCATCATGCCAAATCAGTTAGAAATACTGACAGGGCGAAACATGTTGACAATATTTATTCTTATGATTCACAGCCGTAAATTCTCCAGGGGCATTAGGTGCCTGAACCACCTGACCTTCATCACCTCTGCAGCAAGTAGTAAATCCACCAGTAACACATTTGAGACACCTGTTCTCAAACCCTATTTCTTCTTAATTTTGGAAAATCTCTCTCTTGTTCACCCTTCATAAGATTATCCTAACTACTGGTCTCAAAACCTGTCCTTTTAGTAGCTCTTCTAGGTCTTTGAGAGAAATAATTATTCCTTATTCAGTTTGCTGGCTCCTGTGAATCCTTTTCCTAGAAACTCATTTCTCTCATGCCTGGGCACTTAGCCCAGGCTGTAGATTTCAAAGGTAGCCAAGTGCTGAGAGGTGAAACACCATAATGTTTCAAGTACCTTTTTGGATCTAGCATTTCATCATTAGCTGAAAATTGATACTCCGTTATTTGTTTGAGCAACAGCTGTATATGCAATGTATAGATAAGGATGTACAGAAAGTGTTTTGTGTGTTGGAGATGGCTTACACAGTTAATTATAAATGTAGCAGCAAGGCTGGAGTGCGTTTTGTCCCTATTAGTACTTAACACATTCTTCAATGTAGAAATGCTACGATGCACAGTCCAGACATGATTGAACTTGCTGCTCCAGTGATGGAATGATGTTTCTTCTACACCATTTTGACTGAAAATAACTTCCTTTTAGGTACAGCAGCTTTTCATTGCTTGGTAGCCATTCCACACAGATTGTAGATGGCTGTATACAGTGCATTATATATATGCATTTTGTAGTGTTTGCATTTGAGTTTTATGTGTAAAGAATGCTTTTTTTCCTAAGGGCCATTGCAAGAATAGAAATGGTTGAAAAATGCGCTCTTAAAATTTATGAGGTAACAAATTATTCCTTTGTGTCATTTTTTGAGGATCTGTTTTCTTTCATGCCTGAATGACTTTGGGGACAGCTGAGATCTTGGCATGGTTTCTCAGTTTTTCTTTTGTAACAGTGAATTGCTGATTGTTCAATTTACAGGATGTTTGCTAAATATTTCTCTTACATTTCAGCCCCATTACTTGAGAAAGAGGTTGTACTAAAGGACTTTTTGAATGTTTATCACAATAGCTTAATATCAGTTTAAAAAAGAGGCCGAAGCTTTTTATAGTCCAGTGTCTTATCTTTCCATTACTGGACTGTCAGAGATAACCTGGTGAATGTGAGGCTCACCTGCTGTATGGGCTCAGCTGTTGTTATTGGCAAATTAGTGGTTCATGATGGGGAGCCAGGCTGCTCACAAAACTGTGGAGAAATGTGTTGCCAGAAAAAGACACTATATTCCATTTTAAAGCAGGTAAGAGTAAATTATTTATGTTGTCTCTTTATACTATTTATAGATAGAAAAGAAATATGTACAAACAATTTTTGTTAGAAATGGCAGATGTTATGATTTGCAAATATTATTTCTCTCATGTAAAGCAGAGAAGAAGTCAGGATAAATCTACACTGTAGTATTCATCTCTCAATCTAATAAAATAATAATGTAACATCCAAGAAATTGATGCATAGCTGAAAAAGGTGGTATGTTTGCCTGTGACTGAAACTGGCTGATTTAATTTGGAAGCTGTTATTTTTATACTGGCAGTTGATAATTCTATGCTTCTTTTATGCCATGTCTAACCTTGTTTCACTTAAGATCTGCCAGCGAGGAGATCTATTAAGGTTGATGAGATTCTGCAAAGGCAGAAGAAAACCCTATGCGTCCTAAGCATTTTCTAAATATTACATAGAATGAAATGGAATGGAGTAAAACAGAACTGTTTTATTTGGAAGGGACCTACAATGATCATCTTCTCCATCTGCCTGACCAATTCAGGGCTGAACAAATGTTAAAGCATATTGTTAACGGCATTGTCCAAATGCCTCTTAAACACTGACAAGCATAGGACAGACATGAAAAATTCCCACTCACTCTTTAAGTAAAAGAAATTTTAAAAGTTTCACAAATACCTTTAATTTTATGTTTTTTTTTCTTAAAGATTAAATACATTTGGCTTAAGAAAGCTAGCACGAGACCTCTGTAGCATCTTCATATAGATCTCCATCCCAATCTGCGTCTGCGTGGATGTTTTTTTTTTTGTTCAAATCATATCACTGTATGTATCAAACTAATTTGTGAAGTACTTTGGAGAAACAGAATGCTGACATTTTGATAGAGAGTGCAAGAATGTTGAAGATATTGGAAAGCCTCCCCATATACAACATAGCCATCTAACTGTGACTTTAATTGTCTTATTACCTTTAAAACATAGACATGTATATGACCCAAATGATCTTATACATCAGAAAATAAATACCAGCATTCATTAAAAATAGAACAGGTCTTCTAAAACACATTCTTCCTCACCCTAAAGGCAATTTTCAGTATAGAAGTGTTTAGATGCCTAGATGCAAAATTTGTCATTTACTTTGCCTTTGTCTAGTAACGTGTCCCTTATATTAGAAATGAACATTTTCTAATTTTCTTAATTTTCTGGTTTTATTAACAATTACCTTATCTGTAAGTGGCTCTTGTTTTGGGAATGACAACATGCAAGAGCAACTATTGGTGGGAGTTAGATGTACCAATTCAAATCAGGCAATGATTCTTAAAGAAAAAAATAATTCAAATAAACAAACCAGCACACAAACACAGAATGGTCATCTATGATATAGGAAGTTGGTACCAATCAGGACTCAGTGCTTCATGAAACAGGCTCCAAGAATTTCTCTCCTCATGTGCTCAAACACAGGTGACAGTGTCATAACTGGGAAGTGGAGATTCCCCTACACCAGTATATGAGGGCCATGAGAATCCACTGAGTTTCTGTAGAATTTTGTCTCTTTTTGCAGGCAGTAGAATATAAAGATTTCCATTAGCACTTTCCTCCTTCTGTCAGGAAGAGATACAAATACCTTCTCTGAGTTTGTGTTCATTTGCTGTTTGGTAATGTAGAATATTCAATGACAACCTAAACCATCTTAAATAATTAAGACAACTTAATTAAGAATGTCATAATAAAAATTAGACGTCGTCTGTATGTATTCATTTGTAAGACAACATTTCAAGTTCTCTCCTTGATTCTGTAACCACAACATTTATTGTTAACCTTTTACTCTCGTCTGTAGAGAAAGCAGATACGTGTGATTGCACCTGATACCACATTTTGCAAATAAAATAACTGAAATTGACAAGGCTGGGTCCTCAGCTGTCATAAACTGGGAGGGGTCTGTGGAACTCAGTCCAGCTGAGCTGGAGTGTAGTGCTTGATAACCTGTCTGTTGGTTAAAATTTTATATAAAAAGATAAAATAACAGATAAGTGGGTTATACTCTTTAGTGCAGCATTAAGCCTTTAAGTTTGTACAGTGTATGTTTCAAAAAAAAATATATATAAGGTTACTTTAGGCTGAACTGCTATATCTCAGATTATTCCCTTGCTTTCTTTGCCTGACTGGATGATCTAAATTGTGTATAATTAGAGTGTTAAAATTATTTTTTTCCTTTTAATTTTTCTCAGGAGGTGTTTGCATTGCTCAGTCACTCAAAATCCCTCGGGAACCGAGACCAGGAGAATTTGAAAAGATCATCAAGCGCTTACTGGAAACTCCAAATGCTCGAGCAGTGATCATGTTTGCAAATGAAGACGATATTAGGTGCCTGTTTCTCAGTTTTGTGTATTGAGTGTGTTTCTCTTCACAGAGATGCTCCATTGGTTGCTGCAGAATAGATTAATGCAGAAGGTGTCATATCTAATGATATATAAAAATTATGGGAAACCTGGCGGTATGAAATTGAGTTGCAGTTACATGGTGCGTGGGTCCTTTGCTCTGTGGAGATCTAACCTGTTGCTAGTTTCTATGAGTGCAACTCCAATAGATTGTTATTTTGTGACTGAAAAGGAAGAAATATGCTAGAAAAATATAGCTACATGTGAAACAAATTAACTCCTGCAGTATCTTGAATTCGCTACAGCTGTTGTTGAATATGCTTTAGACTGTAAAAACTATTGACTAATTGATTGGTGTGAGCTAATTTATGCATAGCCAGAACTAATGCTGTGGATTCTCAAATACTTTGTAAATGCAGTTTATTTAATTAGTAATTTTTTTGTGTTTTGCAGGCGAATACTGGAAGCAGCCAAAAAAGCTAATCAGTCAGGACATTTCCTTTGGATTGGCTCAGATAGTTGGGGGTCAAAAATTTCACCAGTTCAGCAGCAAGAGGAGATTGCGGAAGGAGCAGTAACTATTCTGCCTAAAAGAACATCAATAGATGGTAGGAATGCACATGGTAGAAACTCTTATTTTCTGACAATGTTCAAGTACTGTAGGCCATAACAAAATACTAAAAAAAACCATGTAGTCTTTGATTACAAGGAAATTGGGGAAAACTGCAAATAAATAACTTGAGTTAGCCTATTCCAATATTTGTTTGATGTCTCTGCTGAGATGAGAAGATGGTGAATCTGCAATTAAGCAATCTTATTGTCTAATAACCAAAGAATGTGTAATGTAGAGTTTATTATCCACAGACTGGTGGCTGTTTGAAACAAAAAAAGGAATTACCAGATAGATGATAATAAGTAAGCTTATTCATGTGGGAAGAGGTGAATCTAGGCTCTTTGTTCTCCTGAGCTTATTTTAAGAAGCCACTATATATTAACAAAGTTTCATACTTGTTGTGTGAAGTGGAAGTTGTTGTTTGAACCACCTCATTCCTGGGAGGGTACTGGGTGTAGTAATTTCTCTTATTGTCTGGGTAAGTGCTCGAAACTAGTACATGATCAGAAAAACTGGGCACTGTTGATACTTGGAGAGGTTAGCCACACAGAAACATTTGTAAAGGGCTTAATCCAGGTAGTGTGTTTTGGTCATGATTTCATTATGGGTGCTTCGTTGTAGGGGTAAGCTGGTGCAGAATCTGGTCAGGTTTATGCAGGAATCTTTAGTTTCTCAACTGGGGTCATTAAACATGCATATAGCAGAATCCTAGGTGTCCTGCAAACCTTCTGGTTCAACAAAAAGGTACCTGGTGATTTCAGGTGACCTTGAAATGCGAATTCTTTTGATCACAATCTCTAACTAAAGTGGTGATTATAGTTTGTCTAATTTCTTGTAGGTATCTAATTCTTTATTTGAGTCATCTGTATATTAAAAAAATAAATTGTTTCCCTAACCATCTGCATTGCATTTTTTTAATTATAAAATTCTGTGAGATCTTTAGAAACTCTTCAGCTGCGGTAGGTATTTAAAAATACCTTGATCTACAGCAAGTATGTAATAATAATAAATACACTATTTTTTATGTTTACTTACTACTCTGTTCATTAAATATTTTGTTATATTAGTTTGTACCTAGGACTTTTTCTTGTTCTGTTATTTATACAAAATATGTTATTGTCTTGAAATGAAGTACTTTTGTACTGTGTCTTATTGTAATGTTTGTTTTTTTTTCTTCTTTTAACCGTAGGATTTGACAGATATTTTCGGAGCCGAACGCTTGCTAACAATCGAAGAAACGTATGGTTTGCAGAATTTTGGGAAGAGAACTTTGGATGCAAGTTAGGATCACATGGAAAAAGAAATAGCAATATCAAGAAATGCACAGGTAACTGTGAAATTAAAACATCAGTAAGTTATTTATTGGAATGCAGAAAGGAATTGCTTTCTGGTGATCACTCTTCTGGCTCCCTTTGATACTCTAATGTAGATTACTGTGTTGTAAGAGAAGTGTGACATTTTTCTCAAAGCTAAAGAAAATATTTATTGGCAATGTTCGAGTAAGTCAGTAGTCAATTTGCACAATCCAGTGATAGTACAGATTTTGTTAAAGACGTATGTGACTGTTCAATTCCATTCATGTTTTCAGTGACCTCCACTCTCACCCCATCTATAGTTGTCAATATTTTTTTTTTTTGTTAACAGACACATCACAGTAATTGTCATAGTTTTATATACAAAGAAAATTAAATTTCTGTTTAAATTGTTGAGGCCTTGATGATAGGTCAAGTCGTGAACTCTTAATTAGTTTATAAACTGTACTTGGAGTAAAAATCAAATCAATATGTCCTTATTACTTGTCCTTATGATAAAAGAACAGGATTTTATATTGTATTATGAGGTCAAAAGTCTCTGCAAAGTTTGAGCAAAAAGTATGTAATTGGCACTGTTCTCAAGCCTGCTTGCTCAGGCATCACACCCATACACAATGGCCACATCAACTAATATAGCAGTCACCTCAGTAGTGCTGAGTTTCATCACACCTATGAAATGTTTGCTTTCTGCTGTTTCTTGCAGATTTTACTACCAGTTTGTTACCTTTAGTCTTCTGTGACTACAGATGGATGTTTATGTTAATTTTTGTATAGGTACAGTTTCTGCCCAATATAAAGGCTACCAGTGTAATTTCCTGGATTGCCACCACCTCACACCAGCAGTACTTGTAGTGATCACAATCTCTGGTTTTGGTTGGTTGGTTGTTTTTTTTTCCTGGGAATGTTTTCTCTCACCATCCACATGAAATATGAGCATTCCAGGGTTTCTGGCTTTCTGGTGACACTCTCATGCAGCCTTTGTCATGGGGGTGTGCTTCTGAACTTTCTACAAACAAAATGTGCACACCAGCACCACACTTCTCCTGGGTTTGTCAGGCAGACATATGGTGTGGTCTCCAAGCACATGAACTTCTAGCCCAGCATGTCTGAACCATCATGTTTTTTGTATGTGGCCTGTGCCATTGATTCAAAGATTTACTGCAGTGTGCTTTGCAATGCACAGATACATTTCACACAGAGATATGAGCCATGTATACACTCTCTCATTTCAACAGTGATGCTTTATTTTCTGTTTTACCACATATTCCACAAAAAAGCATGATACTTAGTTTCTCACTGAGCTAAATGATAGCTCACTACCCTAATCCTTTACTGCTTGGTCTTGATTCATATAGCAGTGAGTCGTGGCTGGGTAGTTACCCGTGTCTGGGAGTAGCTTATTTTGTTTTTACTATTTTAAGTGGAAAATAGTGGGGGTTTTTTTGTGGTTTTTTTTTGGTTGGTTTGTTGTTTGTTTTTTTTTAATGTTCTTCAAGTGATATGAGAGGTTTATGTGCTGTAGTTTGGGGAACTCTAAATATTACTAAATATGGTTGCATGACTTGTCGCAGAGTCATCACATCTGTCAAACAAAATTACCAACTGAAAAGTAGTGTATAAAATGCCTAGGTCTTACCTTGAAGATTCAAAGTAATTTCAGACTTAAAACAGATACCCATACATTTCATGATACATGGTCTGCTCTCTCTGTGCCTGAAAACATAAAGAAAACAATTTCTGCACCCAGAAAGTAAACGTAGTAGCAAGGGATGGGATTAAAATCTGGGCAGTCTCATATGGAGGTTGCACGTGCATTTTCACTTGCAGGGAAAAAAAATCTATTAAATCTGCAAGCAAGAGTATCTGCAAGTGATAGGATCCTTGACTAAAACCACCTTATGGTGGCTTCCTATGATGGAATTTAGCAGCAGACCTAAATAAGCCAACGATTCTTCATAATCCCTATGCTTATGTAATTCATATGTAAAGGGTTGGATAACAAAAACAGTCTGTTCCTTATAAGTAAACTGAATTAAGAGATGACAGTGGAAGTTCAAAATAAACTTCCTGTGATTTAAGGAGAAATGCTAGGTGGAAACTGTCAGTCTAGACCTAGAGAATTAAAAATGGTGTCTTGACCCTCCCCAGTTCGATTGTCATAGCCTCCTGTGCACGAAATAGAGGCAGCAATGAAATCCCGGCAGCTTCTTCACAGGATCAGTCTGCTATGGCTTTCTATGTCTGCTAAAAACTAAAGGGGAGAATATCCCACCCATCCCACCTTTCCTTTGAATGGCCAAAGACTTCACTTAATCTCCAAGACTGCCCTGAAATAATGGTGGTAAATGAAAAAAATTGAACAAACCTCTGAAATTCAATAAAGTTATAGGAGCTGTTGCATTTAGTTGTTTATAGCTTAATATTGGAGTCTTTGATCCTTGGCCTCTCCCAGTTGCCGTTTGTCCTTCCTGGGGGTTTTGTCTGAGCCTTTATGTGTACTTTCTCAGTCATAGATTTCAGCTCAGTTCTGAAAAGGAATTAATTTCTAGCTCTTGTAGCTCTTCTAGACTTGAACACTGACATTTATCCTAATTTCCCCATATTTTATCTGGGCACTGCAGATAATAACACCATCTTTGTCTGTTGCCCACAAGGCCAGTGTTTTTAGCATGGCAATAGCTAGTGATAAATTGAAAGAAATCAAAAAGCTTGAGATACAGACAACCTAAAAATCTCCTTCTCCAAAAATATAAAAAGGCAAATGGATAAGTATAAAGTTTTCTCAGGCTCAAGATGTGCTTTGTTAAGCATTCTTGTTTATCTTAGCTGTGAGATACTGGAATCTTTTTCTCATGTGTCATTTGTAGTTCTCAGCAACAACAAAACTGATACCGTTGCTCTCTGTTTAGTTGTTACCTGTTCATAGCTTTAAATTTTTAGTACATGCAGGAAGGATGTGTTACCAATGTAATCCAGTTTTAAGCCTTTTTTTTTTTTTTTTTTTTCCATGTGGAGAGACTAGAAGTGCTTAATAGCAAAAGAAGTTTTTCTGTTTTCTTTTCCATGTGAGATCAACAGTCCTTTTAGCACTCTTAAGTCCTGAAAAAAGATTTCTTCTCCTTGTTCAAGGTTAAGAATTACAAAAAAGGCATATGCCTTGTTATTTCCTTCTGTTCTTATGCATTACTGATTATTATAGTCTAGTGTTTTAATGGCTTAAACAGCTTATTTTAAAAGCCTGCTATTTTAAATCCGTGGAAAAAAAACCTGTTTATTTGTGGTTTCTGTTGCTTCTTATTCCTAAAAGAATATTTGCTTTGGAGATACATAAAATAATATTACTAAGTTTTCCTGATCATTTGCTTTCTGATTTTTGCCAGTTTACAGAAAGCAACAATTTACGTAAACTTTTGACAAAATAATTTCTTTGCCACTGTTTATTTGCATCTAGCTCTGTGTCTGAATGTGTCCCTGTGTCCCAGCAGAAAATTTTAGAGGCAGTATTAATCCTTTGGTTACCTACATTATTTAAGAGAAAGGGTTTGCATCATGGTTGCAGGTCATGGAAAAGGCAGTATGCCTCTTACTCTACTTCAAACATCCATTCCCTCAGCTTCCCACTTGAGCCAACTAGTGGTTCAGGTTTTTGGTAGCTGAAGATTTAGCATTAGGTAGAAAGATTGTAGACTAATCAGAATTATTCCTGGTGTTGGGTTGTTTACTTCAGCTTTTGCTTGTTGCTTTATTCATTATAAATCCCACCTTAATGTAGGTTTCTAGACCTTGTGTTTCTTAAGAAATATGCGAAAGTATTAATACAAAGATATGAAAATATATCCCAAAGTACTCTTTGCATTGAATCGTGGAGCTGACAATATGCAACATCACTCTTTTAGAATACCTAACGCATTGTGTTAGGAAAAGAAGGCATTAATAATGAAGAGGTAAGGAAGAAGACTAAGAATTAGATTAATTATATGCACATTTGCTTCCATTAACCTCACAGAATGTTAATATTTAATTCAGACAAAAAATTCTGAATTCCTCTTTACATATATGTGTGAGTACACATGTAGATGCTTATGTTTGCATGCATAAGCAGCTAGAAATCTAACAAAGTTGCTTACTGGATCATTTTTTAATGTTTACAATGGTAGCCCTAAATTCAAATCTGACGTAAAATCTAATTCCATTGGGATTTTTCTGGATTTTCCCCATTGCATCCCTTCAAGACATGCATTTATCCTAGTATTTACAGTCTTTGAACAGCAAAATGTGGCCCTTCAATAAAACCTCAACAAAACCATTAAAAAAGCTGCTTTGTGCACATCCCTGCTGAAGTAGTGTCTCCCCCCTGTTTTGCATGGTTAGCATTTTAACTACTCTGCAAACCTAATCAGCCTTTAACTGCGTATAATGACTGACTGCACTGCTAAAAATAAAGATGGAAGTTTTCAAAAGCATATAGAGACCTGCATAAATTAGTCTAATTTCAGTTTGCTCTGTCAAACTGAACTATTCGTTTCACTGAAAAAAATCGTGTTGCAGTATAATCATGCATACCTAACAGTTTTCCAGATACATTATTTAATTGTTTTATCTTAACTAACCTCTTAAAAAATACAGTTGCACCTGAAGACATTAATAGAAATAAGCAGATCTACTCCTATGTGTATGCAGTCACATTCTGAAAAAAAACATAGAACAAATTGCAGCTTTCAGTAGCAGAATGTGAATCTTGCAGAAGTACAGTGCATTGCTATTTAGTTTGAGTAATGGTTTCATTATCATAAAATCAGTCCTAAAGTAGATGGGTTTTGTTTGGCTTTTTTTTTTTTTATGAGACTTACACAAAGTTTAATAAAATCTACATAGATGCAATTGAGACACATGATGACTTGTACCACAATTCCCAAAAGGTTCTAAGGCTCAGGAGGAACTGGTTTTGAGAATATAAAAAGAGCTTCATGCTTTCCCATTTTTTGTGATTTCTGTGCTGCAGCCAATATGTTTT